TGTGAGCTGTGATGCCATGGCACTCTACCCAGGAGGACAGCTTGAGGCTCTGTCTCAAAAAAAAAAAAAAAAAAAAAAAAGAGCTAGCCTGACCCCTGCCTCTGCTCTGGGAATGTGGAAAGAAGGTCTAGGTGTCTCCTGCCTCTGGGTCCAGATTCCCATTGTTGATATGCAGAGGAAAACCCATGGCTTCTGCACAGTAAGTGGCGACCTAGGCCTGGACCCCTTGTGCCATTTGGTTCAGTGCATTTGGGCCCTCCTGCAGATGCATTCAGGTCAGGCCCAGCCTGCCCACTGCTTCCTGCTGCCTTTCAGAGCAGCCCTCCTTTTACCACGTGGTCCCTTCTACTCCTTATCTGGCCTTTCCAGGAAGCCAGTGCAGGAAGCGGACTTGGGCCTGGCTTCCTGCTGTCACTGACCTCCCCATCTGTTCTCAGGAAGAGCCTGGGGGTGAGGGCCACTTCCAGCCTACTTAGGGAGAGGCCTTTAGGTTCACAGCCCCTAGAGAAGCAACTACCCTATGGATTGGTGGGGGGAACCAGGACTCCCTTGCAAAGGCTTCTGGGCCTTTGTAAGGGCCAACTGGAATTCCAAAGTTGCCAGGACAAGGTGGGGCAAAGCCTCCTTGTTGAGACAGTTTCTTGTCTTCAGGGCCCCTCCATACTGGAATCTTTCTCATGGGAATACTGGAATGGTTGTGATGTTGGACCCTGGACCCATGTACTGCCACCTGAGTCACCTTTCTAGAAACCCAAGGCAGCTCCCAGTGTATAGGTCTGTCTTTTGTGTTTTTAAAATGAAAGTTGGCTCAGCGCCAGCTCAGGTGTATATGGCTGGCACGTTTGAATCCAGCCCGGCCTGCCAAACAACAATGACGGCTGCAACCAAAAAAATAACCGGGTGTTGTGGCGGATGCCTATAGTCCCATCTACTTGGGAGGCAGAGGCAGGAGAATCGCTTGAGCCCAGAAGTTGGAGGTTGCTGTGAGCTGTGATGCCACAGCACTCTGCCCAGGGGGACAGCTTGAGGCTCTGTCTCAAAAATAAAATGAAAGCTGATTTTTTTCTTAGTTATGAAAATATTGGCTCGGCGCCAGCCACGTACACCTAAGGTGGCGGGTTCAAATCCCCAGCCCGGACCCGCCAAACAACAATGACAGCTGCAACCAAAAAATAGCCGGACGTTGTGGCGGGCGCCTGTGGTCCCAGCTACTTGGGAGGCGGAGGCAGGAGACTCGCTTGAGCCCAGGAGTTGGAGGTTG